GAGCTCCGATTAGAAGCCTCAGGTCACCACCACATTACCTGCCTCTGGCCTCCTCCCTCCTTCCGTTACAGGTGAGGATGTGCCCTTCTCCACCCAAGGCCAAACCCTCTACCTGAGCTCCAGCCACCACCCCCCTGCCTTCCTGGAACCCTGGGCTAGTAATTTTTTCTACTCTCTCTCCTGGGTCATCAGGCTCACTCCTCCCACTGTATTCTTTCCATCACATTTTAAGCCTGCCAATTCTCTCCTATCTTCAGAAATGTTGGGAGTTGGGGGGCGGGGCAATACAGTTACCAACTTTTTATTTTGCCAAATAACAGCTTTGAAAGCCCCATTTGCCCTATATCACCATCATTTTTTTTTAAAAGCCAAACATGTTTAACTTCAAACATAGAAGAAAGGAGGCAATTTCAGAATATAAGCCTGTAAATTGAATAAATCTAGTTATTAAAAAATTCACCACCTTGTACTTATTTTTCTCAGTTCTTTATAGACCAGAGGAAACCCAAGGACCCACGCAAGATCTGCGGGGATCCTTCAGGTTCAGCTTGTCCAACTGCATGAGCCTGGCAGTCAGGAATTGGGTCTCCCCACCCCCTGGGCCGGCACACCCCCCCGTGGCAGCAGCCTGGCTCGTTCCAGAACGTCTGGGTTTGCACAGTGTCCACAGCCACCGCCTGGAGAGGCAGGGCTTCCCTCTGGGCCTCCAGACGTCACCCAGCCCTGTTCAGAGTTGTCACGCATGTCCACACCCCAAGTGCCCTGAAGCTGCTGAGGAACCTCCAGAAGAGGTGAAACAGCGCCTCGCTCCAGAAACATCCCAGACGCGAGGGAGGGCACTCTCCTGCGGGATGTACCAGCTAAAACGGCGCCCCGCCCACGAGATCATCAACATTTCTGGAAGAATACGGCAAGGGCACCACGAATGGGGGAACAGCCAGGACTGGGACACAGGAGGCCAGGATTCAAGTTGAAGGTCGCCTGCATGGCCTTGAGGAAGCCATTCCTCCTCTCTGGGCCTTAGTTTTCATCTGCAAAACGAGTATGATAAAGCCCCTCTCGTGGCGTTATTGTGAAGATCAAAGGTCATGTCATCTGCGCCCGGAACGGTGGCTGGTGCACAAGGATCCCTCCACCATGTAGACTTTTAACTCCATGCTATAAAATGAACGTATCCAGCACAATGCAATGAGGTGGGTGTGTTAGGCCCATGTCACACATGAAAGACTGAGGCCCTGGGAGGTGAACTGGCTTTCCCAGGCTCTCAGCTGACAGTGGTGGAGCCACACTTCACGCCCAGGCATCCTGAGCCAAAGCTCTGACCCTTCGCACCAAATCCCCCCGTAGAGCAGAAATGGGGGGCAGGGGGGCACTCTGCCGTCAGCACTGGAAACCCAGCCTGTGCTCGTGGGCTCTCAGGGAGGGATTCTGGGGCAGGGGTGGCCCGGGGCAGGGTAGGCACGGGGGGCCAGGCAGGGAGAGGCTCTCTCACTCTCTATCACTCTCTCTCTCACCTTAGCTTGCGCAGTCCTTCTCCAGAGCTCTAGAGCCAGGAGCCTGAGGCTGCTCTGTCGTAGAATGGTGGGACCTCATTGGAGGCCTGGCTCAGATACCTGGCAAGGCCGGCTAGCGGTGGCCAGGGTGTCTTATAATTATGTTTCTGTTTCCCAAGCTATTTCCTAGAGACACTCATTGAAACTGGATCTGAGAGGCCTCTGCAGGAGCAGACGCACGCCTGGGGCAGGGTTAGGCGTATTTCCAGTGGCATAGACCCTCCCTCCCTCCTACAGCCTTGGGGGCCCTGTGCCTTCTTTGGGGACCGGAGGGGGATGGACAACAAGAGTCAGACTGACTCAGGTCCCCAGTGCCCGACGGTCTGGGAAGGCCTGAGATGGAGCTGCAGAGCACCCAGACAGGAGGGTGAGGAGTGGAGCGGCGTGTCTGGGGGTCGACGCTGCCCCAGAGCTTGGCCTGGCCCTGCACGTGAATCCTCAGCCTGCCACAGGACCTGGGACTCTGGAGTTATGTGGCCCTAAGAACGCAACAAGGCAGGCGTGGACTTCTCTCAGCACAGATTGGGGGTGGACGTGTTTTATGCCAATGCACTGACTGTTACAGGTCCATTCAGCTGGCTCCCTGACTGCACATAAGAAGGAGCCTTGGATCACAGCTCCCGGCCCGGGGTCCAGTCCTGGCTCTGTCCCCCACTCACCATGAGCTTCACCCATGTGCTGGCCTCTGTGGACCTCAGTCTGCCCATGGCTATGATGAGGTGGGCAGGCTCAAGCTTGGAGGCTGCATCCAGCTGTGAAACTCTCAGGTGGAGGGGAGATTTGCAGCACAGAGTGGGCCATTTGCTCCAGGCGTGGCTGAGCCGGAAGCGGCAGCTGCCAGCGAGATCTGCACACGGCTCCCAGCCTGTTGTTTGTGGAGAGCAGGTCTCTGAGAGCCGAGGTGGGGCTCACAGTGCCCGGTCTTTACTGCTGGCCTGTCCTATGCTCACCAGGCTCAGGGGAGACCTGGATGGGAGGACCTGGTCAACTTTCATTCATCTGTTCACTCCTTCACTCGTTCATTCTTTCATACCCTTACCAAGCTCGAAACCTACTACACACCACTAAAACCGCAGGGATGATTGAGTGGTGCCTGCTCTCCCGGAGCTCAGGGTCGGGGTGGGAGACAAAGCCAGCACCATTCACCAGCTACAGTGTGGGGAGCGGCCCAGGGGTGGGGAGAGGATGAGGAGGCTGGAGCTGATGGTGGCTTGGACTGGGACAGTGGCAGTGGGGCTGGACAGAGTAGATGGGTGTGAGGTCTTTTCGGGGGTCTGTCAACAGGACAGACCAAGGACCAGCTGATTTCAGAGATGAGGAAGAAACTGGAGCTGGCCACAAGACCTGTGTGCTAGCCGGATACCTGAGTCAACACTTGTGTCCCCACGGACTTGGGGCTTCAGGAAGAGAAGGGCAGTGTCAAGGCCTGCCCACACGGCTGTGACTTTCATCTCTGGGCTCTCCTGCTTCCTTACCCACAGGAAAGAGCTGCTGTTAGCTTCCCCCAGACCCTGGGTGACTCTGGTCCTGCAGCCCGGGGCAGGTGGGACAGGAAGGCCCTGTCACCCCAATGAAGCATGCAGAATGCTGGATCCCTTACTGGCCTCCCTCAATGACTGGGCTCACCAGGGGCTCCTCCAGGCCTGGGGAGGAGCGTGGGGACTAGCCGAGCCCAGTGGCCCCCCTCTGTGTCAGCTGGAGGCTGTTCCAGGGCAGGACGCACTGCCCAGATGCCCACAGGAGGAAGGGCTGGGGAGGCAGCTGAGTGGTGAGGGAGAGGGAGAGGCTGTGTTGGGAAGCACTTACTTCCCTGCACAGTCTCCACAGCTGTCCTGACTCATGCCACGTCGCCAGCAGGTGTCCTGCAGCTGGAGAGTGGCATGGCCCTCTCCATGAAGTCAGTCAAGGTCCTGCTGGCTCCTCCAGGCCCCCCTGCAGAAATCCCTCCCTTCTCTGGAAACTGTGAATATCTCCTGGAATCATAGATGGCCCAGGTGAGTTTCGGCTCCTTCTGTTCAGATGAGTAAACCGAGGCTCTGAGCGGGGAAGGGACTTGCTAGAGGCCACAACAGGCCATGGCACAGCTCCAACGTGAGCCTAGAGCTCTTTCTGTCCAGGCCCAGGTGTGGCCTTAAAGATGCTAGCCCAGAGGTCCTGTGTTTCTGAGGCCCTCCCACGAGCCTCTCCTGTGTGGAGGGCTGCAGAGAAAGGAAGGCAGGCACAGACAGACGGACAGATGTACCCTGCTCTTACCCTTGATGTATGTGGGGGGGGGTTGAGTGGTGGGGGGAGGGGGCTGGAGGAGGAAGACCTCAAACAGCAGGCATGTCACATTACGAAATAGGACCCTCTGGGTTAGACTGACTGCTGACCTTGGCCTGACCCTGGCAGGCAGGCCGGTGTGGGTGACCAGACAGGAAGGGAGGGCGAGAGGGTAGCGGCAGTGAGTGCTCACCAGTTGTGGGCGGAACATCTCGTCTAATTCTCACAATTTGGGTTGAATTCCATCAACACAAATTGCAGCAACACGAGCAAGAAATACACGTTCTTCATTGTAGTTCCGGACCAAAGCTGACTAATAAAGGAGGCAAATACAATTCTTGGTCCCAACGAGGACATGGCTGTCACCAGCAGAGGCAGCCACAGAGAAAGAAAGAAAGAGTGAGGGAGAAGTGAGAGAGAGAGAGGAGAAGGAACAGGGAGAGAGACGCTGAGCACCCCTGCACCCGGACATCTGGACTTCCGTTTGCACCAAGTGGCCAGAGCCCCCAGAAGAAGCATCAAATTCGTGGTCCACATCGCGATGATAAAAATTGTATTAATTGTCGTGACGATGATGGTAGCTGCTATTTTGAGTTCCTACTATGTGGCAGGTTATTTAAATGTTATCATTAATCTTTGCACTATTCTACAAGGTAGGTCTTTTCAATTCATCAGATAGTTATGGCTAACATTGCCCATTCATGGAAGAGGGACGTGAGCCTTTGAGAAGTTACCATGCCGAGGTCATGCAGCCTGGAGCGGGCTGGGCTGGGATCTGGAGCCAGGACTGGGGGATGCCGGAGCCTGCCTTTTCCCCATCGGGAAAGCCACATGGCCCTTACAGTCTTGGCCCTGGCTCTGCTGGGTGGGCACAAGGCTGGGCTGGGCAGTGGGAGCTGGCTTCATTTCTGGACTCTCAATATGGCTCCTGGGGCATGAAGGGGCCACAGAAGTTCTCCTGGTTTTGGCAGGGGTCACTCCCCTTGCCCACGGGCACTGTCATGAAAGAATCCTTGACCAGAAGCAGGAGAACTACCCCAGCTCTGCTGAGGGCTGTGGGGCTTTTCCTGCTCCATTCTGGGCCTCAACTTTCCCCTTTAGGAAGCAGAGGTCAGGAGAAAGTCTAGCCAATCTCCCAGCCCTTAAGGATTCTGCAAATGATCCCTTCCCCACTGTGGCCCAAACCTGCTCCGAAGGCGAAGAAGCAGATCTTGTCTTCGTTCTCCTGCAGAAGCGCCATGACCCTCTTCCCCATCCGCTCATTCCTCTTGTAGATGAGCTCCTGGCGGAAGTAGCTGTCGATCTCCTGGGCCGTCACCTGCTCGTGTGGTGGGAGGGTGGTGTTGATAAAGTTGGGCAGCTGTAAAGGCAAGACAGAGGCTGCCTTCAGTTCTTTCTGGAGCAAGGTGGCTTCAAATAAGCACACGGCCCAGTACGGGGCCGGACAACTCACCGTCATTAGTCCCTCCAGTGGGCTGGATGTTTTGTATACGTTTTTCATCAATTCCAAAACCCTCGAGATGAGTGCTGTTATTCCAGCTTTACAAATGAAGAGGGCAAGAATGGAAAGATCCAGAGACAGGTGCAGCGTCACACTGCTGGCAAAGTGGCAGAGCCAGGCGGAGGGCCCCCGACTGCCGCACTCCCACATGCACCACTCCTGTCTCTGCCGTTTTGCAGCTCAGCTTCCAGACATGGGGGTCCTGTGGTGGCGGACAACGCTCACCTCGTCCCTGCTCTCACACCAGCGCCGACGTGTGTAAGGAATTCGGTCCAGCGAGCAGGTGTGGAGGGTCAGCTGAGCTGCCTGGTGTAGCAGAAAGGCCATGGGCAGGGGACCATGTTGACTTGGGGTTTAGGCCCTGCTCTGATACTGTGTGACCTTGGCCAAGTCACTTAACTTTTCCGAGTCCTAGTTTCCTCATTTGTAAGATCGGGCTGACAATACTGTGAGGTATCGTCTGAGATGATGGGTGCTGTCACGGGCTGTACTCAGCCTACTGTCCTAAAGAGTGAGAGGAGGGGTCCTAACCTTTGGTTTTCCCAGTGTATGAGCCCTGGTTGGCTACGTTCTGTTGCCACCACTACATCCCCATCCCCAGCTCCACCACCTCCCAGGACATAACCCACACGCCTTCATCTCTTCTGAAAAGCTTCAACTCTAGGACCACGGCTTCCTCCCATAATGATGGCTTGTTCAACAACCTGGTGTGGAACTGTCCAGACTTCCCAGCTCTGGGCCCACTGCCATCCTCAGCCATGTGGCCTGGGGCCAGCATCACTGACACATTCTCGAACCAGGCAGAGAGCTCCCTGAGTTCAGGGTCAGGGCCTTTGTCACTCCTGGGCCCCCAAGGCCTGGCACAAAGCAGGTGCCCAGGAAAGGCTTCTGGAAGCTTGAGCATAAGCTTGTGCTGTCTTTCCTCACCACATTGCCTCCCTCTGTATTCTTCTGTTCCCAACATGTTGTCTTTCCAACACAGATGACGGGTCCAGCACCGTGGCCTCCAACATGTGTGTGGGGCCTGAGGGGAAGCCACGGCCACAGAGGATTCTGACGCAGAGTCAGAACATGCCCTCTCTGTCCCCACAACCTGTCAATGTCATTCCAACCTCCAAGCTCCTGCTCACAGGATGTCCTCCACCTGGTGTTCCCACTCCTATTTCTCTGTCTTCACCAACCCAGGCACAAAGCACAGGACATGAGGCCGAGTAGACTGATGAGATGGCTAGATAGAGCCTCTGGCATGAGGGGACCAATTTCCTGCAGCTTTTAGCCCCCAAGAGTCATGCAGCCCAGCCACATGGCTTCCAGAGCTACTGATGAGTTGTCAACACTCATTCTGAGGAAAATGGAGGCGTCAGTGGAGGCTGAACCCTGAGGGACTCGGGGGAGGCCAGGACACCCGCCACTGCTGTCTGCTGACCAAGGACCAGTGCCTTCCCCAGAGGGAGAGGGAGGGGCTTCTCTGCCAGAAAGGGCAGATTCGCTGTTCTTGGATGAACAAGACAATGATGTGACTGGTGTACCCTAAACTTGTGCAGTGCACAACCTGCGTAGCTGTATGCAGCAGCCATGCCAGTGTCCAACAGGGCCAGCAGAGTTGGTGCCCGGGGACTGTTTGGCAAATGAATAAATGCAGGAATGGAGTTCTTACTCCCTCCCCAACCGTGGAAAGGATGATCGGCAGCCCTGACAAAACAGGCCACAAAACAGGACTTGATGCAGCTGTAGGAAAACCTGCAGGCTTCTGAGTGAGGGAGGAGCACAAGGGAACCTGGGACTCAGAAGGGTTATTTCTGGAAACACAACCCTCACAGGCTTCTCTCCACTGTTTTGGTATGGAAGAGAATGTGGGACAATGTTGTACCAACAAATAAATATTTGTCAATCAGTGAACGTGCGGATGAATGAAGGAGCTGGGAGGCGGCAGAGGTATGCTGGTTATGACCGTGAGCCCCGCAGTCAGGCAGCCAGGACAGCTGGAATCCCTCTTTTGCCACTTATCAGCTGGAGGTCTCTATAACTAGCAAGTTACTTGGCCTCTAACAGACTCGGTTTCCAAATTGGTGACACGGGGGTAATACATGTTGTGGCAGGAATTAAACAAGATCAGTTTCGGACAGGTCTTGGCTCAGTGCGTGGCACAAAGGAAGTCCTGACTGACTTTTGTTTCTTTCTTTCTTTTTCTTTTTTTTTGTGAGGAAGATCAGCCCTGAGCTAACATCCATGCTAATCCTCCTCTTTTTGCTGAGGAAGACCGGCTCTGAGCTAACATCTATTGCCAA